TCTCCCTCTCCCTCTCTCTCCCTCTCTCTCTCTCTCTTTCTCTTCCACTTCTCTCCTCTCTCTCTCCCTCTCTCTCTCTTTCTCTCTTTCTCTCTCTCTCTCTCTCTCTCTCTCTCTCTCTCTCTCTCTCTCTCTCTCTCTCTCTCTCTCTCTCTCTCTCTCTCCTCACAATATTCTCGACTGCCACAGCGTTGTAGAACTGGTTTCCAGACAGGTCCAGGCGCTCCCCAATCCGTAAGCCCCAGCCCACACGGCTCAACCGCCCAAACACCCTCCGGCGGATGACCTCCGACTTCGGCGACCTGACCCCAGCCGACCGGACCGATCGCGTCCCTCTCCACGCCTCCGCCCCGCTTCCCCCACTACAACTGCGTAGTAATTGTAGCGTGTGCAAAGGTCACGTGACATTATTTACTTCTGCGGTTTGTTCGGCTGACAAGAGATGGCACTAGTGGTCTGTGGATCAGAGGCGGGGCTAGGTTCTACGACTTCTTGGGGCAACTTTAGGGCAGAAAAGACGTTTTTGGCTCCTCATCCCAAAATGCTTCGAACATACAAAAAACAAGTTAGATATTCGAAAATCGGAGGACCAAACCGATCGTTTGACATATCTTGCTCGACTGAGAATTGATCGGTCTTCAAACTACTGAGCAAAAACGAGGTGATTAGTAGCAAGTGCTGGTGACTGTACATACACGATCTGTACGGCGCGGTCGTGAGCTCGGCTTAACGGACACCTCGCGGATGGCAAGACGAGGGGCGGAAGACGCGACGGGAGAGACAAGGGAGACGCGATATGAGAGACAAGGAGACACGGTGGGAGGCTGGAGACACGCGGCGTGGCGCTTGGTATGAGTGATGAGATACGTCCCAAACACGGCTCGTGGCACGGCGGAGGCGGTCGAATCGTGGGCCGGGCCGGGCCCAGCGTCACCTCGCGATGGATGTCAGTGGAGATAGAGATTGGGGAGAAAATGAACACGCGAGTAAAAACAGCTGGAGGAAATTTGATTCGGCGGGTCGGATGATGAGTGATTAGATAACGATGGTGATTTCTCGAGCGCTCATTTCAGTCGTAGATTCGATTACTTATAGGTCATATCGTGATGTGTTGATAAGACTCGGATATCAATTTTAACGATAATCCTTTTTTCTGATCAGTAACAAAACACGATAAATCTGGCGTTACGTCAAAGTAACAGATCACTAGAAACCGCTACCGGAAATCTATCGCGCCCTTGTCTTACCATTTCAGTAAAGTAACCTCTGACTAGCCGTCCTATATGTAGTGGTCTAGCCAGCCCGGTCTCACCTGAATGAGGTTCGAGTGGAGCACCAGGGTCTTGAGCTGGGTGAGCCGGCGCAGTGCGTCGGTCGGCACCTGTGTCAGGAAGTTGTTGCTGATGTCGAGCAGCTCCAGGTCCTGCAGGCCGGCCAGGTCGCTCTCGTCCAGCTGGAAATGGAGAGCAGGGAACACGGGGTTACCATTTGGGCACGACATGTGGTGACCACATGCTCTGAATGGGCATTTCGCTTAGCATTAAGATGTAAGACTTTCATTATCATTTTCTCATTGTTTTAAATGGGTGCTATTGTTGTCCCACCTGCTCGGCTCACTTGCCAAATAGTGAAAGCTCATTTTATGTCATCTCAGCCAGTAATTTTTATGTCGCCGGTCGTTTGAGCAAACTCTGGACACACGTTTCGGCCATCGCATTAACAGCGCTGACGTGCGCCTGCCATTAGCTGGTCTCGCCGCGGCCTCACCGCCGCATGATGATGGCCCATTGAGCCCTACGGTCGTCGTCTGCACCAGATAAACGATCCGGACTCGGTGACCATCCCATGTGCACGCTGCAGGCGCGGGTGCGGATGGCGTCTCGGCGTCAGGACCGATTTATTGTCCGGGCTGGTTACTGCTCAGACCACTGTGGGTTGTGTGAACATATGGTGGGCGTGGCCCATCTACTCCTCTAACGTCCCACTTGTGACCAGCGCGCGCCGTTCCGAACTACCGTGACGCCGCCGTTTCTGGCGCGCGGCGGCCGTTATGGCGCTGTGTGTGCCGATTGTGGCGCCGCTGTGGCGACGGCTGCGCACGGTGACCGTGTTTGTGTTCGGCCGTCGTTTGGCCGTGGGAGCGGTCCGTGGGTTTACGGAACTGTCGTTCCGGCGCCGGGCACGGTGCGGGCCGGGCCTGACTCGAGACGGACGCGGTCGGTCACCACGCCACGCTGTATCTAGGACTCTACAGTCGTCGTAGTGTAGTGTCGTAGTCGTAGTGTCATAGTGGACTCTGTAGTGTCGCGATTCGTGGGCCGTTGCCGGCCGGGTGGGAGAGGAACGGCAGGGGAAGTCATTAGTCTTCCTCTTCTTTCCAACTGCCTCCATGACGCCCGTAAGTGGCGATTTGCATGATTCATGCTCGCCGGGGAATCCTTAGCACCTCGACTGATGGTAACGTCATGCTGCTTATACAAGTGGCACCCTCTGTGACCCGCGACACTGATCTGACTACATGAGTGTCACTCGGCCGGTGTCCTTTTGACCTTCCAGCTTTGCCAGTTTGGTCTCCAACGGCCCTCACGTCACCACACTGTCTTCAAGGACTTGGCCAAATAAACCATCTGCTTAATGTATGGATTCATGAGAATGAATGCGACGATGGTAGTATTGACGGTGATGGTGACGGTGGACAACGCGCGTTCTGACAACCGTTCGAGTGGGCGTGTCGGGGCGGGGCGCGATGACTGGTCAGAGTGGCACCTGACGGAACGGGAGCCCAGTTTTCTCCGGCGTGCCACAATGAACGCCGACCCGGTAACCAATCGGCGAAAGTGAGCGGGATGCAGATGCCGCCCGGACGAGTGTCGCCCATCCCGCCGAGAGGACGGGCGAGGGCCACATGGCGGCACTTTCGCACTCTGGCGGCGCTCGCGTGACGCACGTTACGCTGGCGTCTCGGCGGGCGCCCGGTGTGTAACATCACGGTCTCAGAGTGGTCTAATGGAGAGAAAGGCGCGCAGCGGGATGACTTGCCTGCTGGATCTTGTTGTAGGCCATGTAGAGCCGCTGCAGCCGCGCCAGGCCGGTGAAGGCGCCGAACTGAAACTTGCGGATGCGGTTGGAGGAGATGTTGAGGAAGCGCAGTGCGGGCTGCTCCAGAAAGGCGTCCGTCTGTACCTGGTCTGTGGACGGGCAAACAGGGGGAGCGGTCAGAACACGAGTGGCGTGAGTGGGGGAGGGGTATGAAGACGACGATGGGAGAGCAAGGCAAATGTTGGGATCTGCTACTGCGGGGGGACAGAGGCGTCAAGGGCGTGTATGCTCTGGTCCATAGTTGGCTAGAGCACGGACGAAAAGAGGTTATGAACTTAGAAAAATATCTAACTTTTAAAATAAAATCCATGACCATACGATGGATAAATGTATTTGATGCGCGCGACTAACAGTGGCGCGCAGCAAAGCCTTTCTCTGCCCGCGGGCGCAAACTGTAGCCTGTAGCGACACCTACCGCACGGCGTGAGCACCACCGGCCCTCAGGCCTCAGTGAGCGCCCGCAGTGCCACGTGACAATATGTGTTCTGTGTGCTTTCGGAATTCCTTTGCGTCTGGTGCGCACCAACAGTGCGGTGCGCCGCTTTTCAATTACAGGCGAGTCCTTCCCGTGTCGGGATTATATCTAGTGCCTATTCTTACGGCCCTGTGCGGCCGTCTCGTTGTACTGCTTCCCCGTCTCCGGCGGCGCGTCAGTGCGGCCGGTTGGTGACCCCGGCCCTGCACGCCTGACTCCGCTAACGGCACAGCCGCTGACAGTAGTTTTGTCGCGGTTTTTCTATCTTCCCGTGGCACTGTGCGGCAGTTTCGCTTCGGGCTGCGGCGCTGTCCGCGACTACGCTCGACTCCCGTGGGCGGCCTGAGCTAATCGTTTTGCATAGACCACTAATCCGCGGCCATCTCTGTCCCTTTGTCCGGCGCGTCCCCCTACCGGGCCGCTTCCCCTCCCTCGCTCCCTCCCCACCCCGGGGGTGGGGATGGTCGTACCGATACGCGCCGCCAGGCGGCGGCACCGACCGGTCCGAGTGCCGGCGCCGCGGCCGCGAGCGTCGGCGGTCTGCTGCGCTGCGCGGCGCGACTCGGGATGCTGGAGCCGCAGCCGCAGTCTCCGTATCTCGCCGGCGCGCCTGGGCGCACGTAGACTTATGGCAACCTGGCGCCCGGGCGCATACAGTTTCGTCAGCTAGGCTCGTTCCGGTGGCTTTTTCATGTTCATGGGGCGGGGTTTCACGTGCATGTATTGCCAGTCCAGGCCGTCTTCAATTTTTTTTTCTTACTTTTACAGATTCCTAAACCGTGACCTGGATCGCAGTGATTTCTCGTGGCTTTTTCAGACCGGACAGTATGTTTTTCGCAAATTGGTCTGTTTCGACCAAATATACTCTACGTACTCCTCACTTCTTGTCACCAGTGTGCTTGCTTTCATCCAAAGTACCCATGGACCATGTGTCATATGTTGTGCATGTTTTTATACTTCACGGCTATGTTCCTGCCTGGTTGATCTGACCTTGCCCCCACTACAGGGATCTAACATTCATGTCGCATTTCATACGTAATTGTGCGCGGTCGTCACCGAGTTTATGACGCGAGACGCCCCATGCGAGACAATACAGTCCAGGCTACCAACAGCCCAATTTTTGGGCATGTTGCCAACACTGCTTCGACGCCGTTTTCCGGAGTCCGAGGTGACCCTGCGTGCCTCGTGTCCTACACCCGTTTTCTTGAACGACGTCACGCTCATTTATTTTCCACAATGTATGTATGTATGTATGTATGTATTGATCTAAAATCCATCCACATAACATGGTTTTTCAGGATTCAGCGTCATGCACAATACAGTAAAATGCAAGAAGGCAATAGGCACTGGCAGATAAAATAAGACAACTAATTGCACTAAAACCGGAATAAAACACAGCACCCCAAGACCTCAGGCTTCGCTGGCCGCCATTGCGCGGCGAAACGCGGACAGCGTGGGCTGCTCCCTGACGGCCGGCGGCAGCCGGTTCCACGCGGCAGCAGCGCGGTAACTAAACGTTCTCTGTGTGGAAGAGAGCCTACACTTCTGCAGCTCCAGGGCGCCAGCTTCTACAGAGCGTGTGACCCGGCCAGACACCTCAGAGCGGGACACAAACATGCGGCGGATGGAGAGAGGGTAAGCTGGTATGTGGAGCGCCTTCCACACCTTCAGCAGGTCCCTCTCCCACACCAGCCGCTCCACTCTGGGCCAGCCCAGGGATGCCAGAGCCGGCCCGATCCTCTCCCGACGCCGCACGCCTGTCACGATCCGAGCACTGAAGTTGATGAGTTTTTGGATCCGAGTGAGTTGATTTTTTGTGGTTCCGCCCCACACCGAAATGCAGTACAGAATGTGAGGGAACACGTGGGTCTCAATGAGTAACTTTAGCGTTTCCTGGTCAAAATGGTGGCGGAACTTGGAGAGGGATATGAGGAGGGCATTGCACCTCCTGACGATGTGACTGATGTTGGTGTCCCAGGCCAAACACGAGTCGACAGTCACCCCCAACAATTTGATGGTTGGTGACGGTTTTAAGACTGACTCAGCTATGCAGATATGAAAGTTTTCGATCTTGCTGAGAGTCTGGCGGGTTCCGATGAGAATGAAGTCGGTCTTTTGAGGGTTCATTTTAAGAGAATTTGAGCTAAACCAGTGTTTCATGACATCCAAGGAGTTTTCGACACGTTGTTTTAGTGATGCTAAATTTTGAGGGTCAGGACGCGAGTGATCGAGCAGCTGGGCATCGTCAGCATATGCGATCACCCGACAGTCCGGTAGATGGCAGTGCAGGTCGTTCGTCAGCAGGCTGAAGAGGATCGGCCCGGCTATGGATCCCTGCGGAACCCCGCAGGGGACCGGCAGGACTGTTCTGCCGCCCCTGACCAGCTGCCCCCGGCCGCCAAGATAACTACCAAACCAGGTCGGGTCGATCCCGTACCACTCCAGCTTGCGCAGGAGGACGCCGTGGTCGACGCTGTCGAAGGCCTTGCTGAGGTCAGCTGCCGTGACTGAGGAGACCTCTCCCCGCTCTGAGTTCTGGCTGATCCATTCGACAGCGTCGAGCACGGCGTCCTCCGTGCTGTGACATGATCGGTAGGCGTACTGGTTGTAAAATAAAATGTTGTGGTCCGATAGGTACCGCGACAGTTGGTCACACACAACCTTTTCAACAACTTTTGACAAGTGAGATAAAAGTGAGATCGGTCTGTGGCTAGATGGTTCGTGTACATCACCGCGTGGCTTAAGGATCGGCACCACCTCGGCAGTTTTCCACGCCTCAGGGAAAACACCTTTGGTTAGGGACACATTCACAAGTCGCAGCAGGTGGGGGCCAATCACATCAAAACAGCGCTTCACCGCACCGAGTGGCACCCCGTCCAGCCCCACCGCCCCAGACGAGTTCATCCGCCTCACAGCTCGCGCCAGCTCCGGTAGGGTCGCAGGCTGGAGCCGGAACGCCGCTGAGACTACTATAGGCGGCCGCGGGGCTAGGCCCGCAGTGACGTCATCATTCAAGTCGGCCGCGATGCGAGAGCCCACCGACGCGAAGAACTCGTTGAAAATGGTGTCGCCACAATGAAATGGTGTCGCCAGGGGTAGCCAGTAAGAGTTGGTTGCAGCGCGGGAATCCAAATGTTTATATTGTCTCGGTGGTGGTCAGACCACCGGTGAAAGCTGGGAACATTGTGTGCAGGATGTCTGGCTGCCTGTGAAGCATAACTGAATAATTCGACAGGGCGTGAGAGGAATGTTTGGAGTCCATTCATAATGTCAGCTCCATGACAGAGTCGAGTGCAGGTATCGAATCACGACGCGCATTGTCGGGAAATCGCCAGGTGTGCGCGAACAATGCCCGTTGGACACTGCTGCATGCATTGCGGTCGTGATTTGCCTGACCAGAGTTGATGGATGATCACGGAACGACGAAAGGTGACCACATCCTACCTTTTGTTTGCTGGATTCAGTCAACTGCCTCGACTGTTCAGCTGCAGACTGATCATGTTTTTTTATGTTTTGAGCAAATATATTTGTTTAGCAGCATACGATTAATGCAATTTTTCATTTACGTTATTTGTGCAGCTTACCAAATATAATCAAGGTTAGGTATGTTTCAGTTCTTCATTTCTTTTGTTAGTGTCTGGCTACGTAGCTTTAAATGATTCCAAATAATTCAGAATGATTTATTTGCTCCATCCTGGGACTTTCTGAAGCACCTACTCATAACTACTGTAAGTCGTAACGATAGATTGATTTACTCAATGATTGATGAACCAAGTTTTTCCTACACATTCCGACCAATTACCGGCGATTGGCGCGTACGCTGTTAGTGCTGCGAGTACTCAGAAGACGGTCCATCACTATTACGGGTACTTTTTACCGGCGCTGAACCGTTACGGTCCTGCCGCTGTGGCCGGTCGGTCTGCCGGCGGCGGACACTCGGACGGTGCCAATTACGCTGCCTTCCGCCGCCATCAGTCGACGGATTTACGAGGTAGCCGCCGTGCCCCTCGGCCACGGCTGGTAACGCAGCTTTTTATCGACGCCGTATCGAAACCCGGCGGAGTGTGTCGGTCTGGGCGACCCGCGACGCAGGGTTGGATGCTGGCTGGGTGCTCTCGGGTGGTTTAGACATGTAGGCGTCATAAGAGCTCCCGAACCTCCGTCAGACTATTCCGACATCGTGGGCGTTAGAAAAGCTCCCAGACCTCTGTCGGACTATCTCCCTTTCCAGTGCCGGTCCGTCCGGCGCGTCGCTCGGCTGCCGCAGGCGCGATGACCCGGCGGCGTAGGGTCACAGGGGTGAGCCGCCGCGCCTGGTACTCGGGCCGTTCACCTCCACGGCCACACCCTCTCCGGGAGACTCCGATGGAGAGGTGGAGAGGTGACTCGAGGTGACTCGTAGGATGACGGAGTGAGTGGAGAGGAGAGGAGCACAGGACAGACGCCGAGCCACAGGGAAGGCTAGCAAATAGCCGAAGCCTGGCTCATTCAACTTACCGAGCAACCGAAAAAATGCAGCCAACATGGTCAGTGATCACTCAAGCGCATTCTACGTCCCGTTTTAAGACATCCGCAAATGGAAATGAAGGCAGTATTGCATTACTCCTCCGACTT